TAGTTGATGTGAATTGGTTCTAGGTTTGCACATAAAGCTAATTCCAAGTTTTGTGCGAACATAAGTTTTCTTTCTCTTGGGTAAATATGTAGGTGTGGGATTGATGCATCTTGTGGTAAGGGTGTGTTTATCTTGATAAGAAACCGCCACATTGTTTTCCAAAGTGGCCCTAGCAGTGTACGAGAGTGCCAGTTGCTCCACATTCTTGTTAGCACTTGGTGTTGTCATGCTTTTTTAAGCCATTGCCATAGGTAGGTTGTTATCTCTCCTTACAATTTTAATTTGCATTTCCCTAGTGACTATGGATGCTGAACATCTTTTCCTGTGCTTTGTGCCACGTGTGTCTTTGGTGGAGTGTCTGCGCACATCTTTTGCCCATTTTTAAATTGGGTTATTTGCTTGTATTATTGATTTTGAGAGCCCTTTTTATATTCTGGGTATGGGTTCTTTATCAGATAAATGATTTGCAATTTCCAGTTGGTTGGCTTTTCTTGTCATTCTCTTAACTGTGCATTTCAAAGAGCAGACATTTTTAATTTTGACTGTCTATACATTGTAAAACTTTTCATTATGCTTCTGATATCGTATCTATGAATTCTTTGCCTAAACCAGTGGTGGGCAAACTCATTAGTCAACAGAGCCAAATAACAACAGTACAACGATTGAACTTTCTTTTGAGAGCCAAAATTTTTAAACTTAAATGTATTCTAATGCCACTTCTTCAAAATAGACCCCCCCTTCCCCCCAGGCTGTGGTATTTTGTGGAAGAGCCACGCTCAAGGGGCCAAAGAACCGCATGTGGCTCGAGAGCCACAGTTTGCCGACCACAGGCCTAACTCAAGGTGACAACGATTTCCTCCTAATTCTTCTTGAAGTTTTAGATTTTATATTTTGGTTTGACCCATTTTTAGTTAGTTTTTTGTTTGGTAAATGATTCAAGGTATGTAGGCGTCTGTGGACCAACCGATTTGCTCATAAGAGATTTAGGGAAATGACAGGGTGTATGGCGGGGGTATGTGGGACACCCCCTTTGCGTTGGCTGAACAAATGCTTTCCTCCAGGCAAAGGGTTTTTCCCACAACCTTTTAAAGATCGCTCACCCTGCATACTTCGCCATCCTTGCTATCAAAGCTTTAAAAAACAATAAGGAAAATGCAGAGGTGTGCATAGATTTCCTTTGTACTGCTCCTTGGGGCTTACAGTGGAGCTTGTTTCCAGGTGAAATTACATACAGCGGTGTTCCTGGAATAAGAAGCATTTCCTAAAGCTTTATCTAAATCAGCTCTGGAATCAATTGACCTTAAAGAGAATCTCAAAGGTTTTTTTTTTTCCTTCAAAAATTAAATAGATGATAAATATGTTCCTCCTGGCTAGGAAGAATGGATTTAAATACAATATCATGGAGATTTGGGAAAGCCTTCATGTTTTCATAGTCCTCACCTGAGAATATGTTTAATAACTTTTTTAGTTTTATAGAGAGAGAGAGAGGGGAAGGGAGAGAGGGGGAGAGATAAGGAGAGAAGGAAAAAGGGAGGGGAGGAAGGGAGGGAGGGAAGGAGGAAAAGGAGGGAGGGAGGGAAAGGGAGAGAGAGAGAGAGACAGACAGAGACAGACATAGATGTGATAGAGCAGTGGTCAGCAAACTCATTAGTCCACAGAGGCAAATATAAACAGTACAACGATTGAAATTTCTTTAGAGAGCCAAACTTTTAAACTTCTTCAAAATAGACTCGCTCAGGCGGTGGTATTTTGTGGAAGAGCCACACTCAATGGGCCTACGAGCTGCATGTGGCTCTCGGCCGCAGTTTACTGACCACAGTGATAGGGAAACGTTGATCAGTTGCCTCCCGCATGTGCCCTAACTGGAGATTGAACCTGCAGCCTAGGAATGTGTCTTGACCAGGAACTGAACCCGCAACACTTTGGTGTATGCAATGGTGCTCCAACCAGCTGAACCACTCGGCCAGAGTGAAAACGCCTTTACAGGTTAAAGCTTTAAAATATAATATGTTGCCCTGGCTGGTGCGGCTCAGTTGGTTGAGCCAGTGCACCAAAAGGTTGCTTGTTCCATTTCCCGTCAAGGCTCAATTGCTGGTTGGGAGCATGCAGTCAATATTATGCTCTCACATAGATGTTTCTTTCTCTCTCCCTCTCCCTTCCTCTCTAAAAATCAATAACCATCTTTTAAAAAAATTAGTAAAATGTGAAAATTTAAGTTAATGACACATTAATTATATTTAGAGGCAAATGGCTTGATTGAAAAGCAGCTGGCACTCGGGGGCATCTTTTCCTAGCTTACGAGTTTTTTCATTGAGTTTTCGTTGAGGCTCAAGCTGGCAGCGGTGAGAACGGAGACCTGGAGGCATAGCTCTATGTTACTTAAGAAATCCCGGAAAGACCTGCCAAAGGAGAACGAGGCAGTGAGCGGCAGCATTTACTGTATTAGCAGAGCCTTGTGGGGATGGGACAACGCTGATTCCAGCCAGTTGTGGTTCCGCCAACAGCTTTGTCCCCCGACTTTCTCTTAAATTCTGGGTTTGGAGTCCAGATACCTGGGTCAAGGTGTGGTTCTCTGGCATTAACACTGAATTCTGGGCTCAGGAGGTAGCGTATCTGAGCCTGCCTGCCTGCCTTCGGTGAAGGGATTGGGTTCTCAAAACACACGCCCCTCGTAAGTAACATAGAGCTGGTGGAGGTCCAGACTTGTCCAGTGAATTTAAAAAGGATGGTGTTTACTTAAGGAAGGAATATTTTCCTCACGTTTTGAAATTGCCTTTTTAAATTTGTCTCACGTTGTTGAATTTTTAAAAATGGTAGTAAGGTGCCCATCACAGTTCCTGTCGCAACCACTTGGAAGTAGCACGAAGTGCATGTACATTGTAGGGCACCCTCCAGAACGGTGTCCTGTTGTGAAACTGAAACTCCACTCACCAAACATTCCCCCCACCCCCCCAATTTCACACTCCTCCCAGCCCCCAGCAACCACGGTTCTGCTTCCGGTGTCTCTACGTCTGACCTCAGATGAGTGGAACCATCCGATGTTTGTTTTTGTGGCTGGCTTATTTCACATAGTATTATGTCCTCAATGTCCTCTCCTGTAGCATAGGACAGGATTTCCTTCTTTAAAAAAAAAAAATTAGTGATGCTGCTCATCAGTTATTCAGATATGTAAGGACCTCTAAGTATACCGTTTCTCCTCTTGGTCCCGGGGGGAGACAGGGGAAAGAGGTGGAGTGTGCCGTCAGCTACCTGTGCAGGAAGGACAGGCACACAGCCAGCCGCTGTGAATGAGGGAAAGTTACATCCCACGCGGAGAGCAGAGAAGGGGCTGGAGTCTCCGTCACTGTCCTGCAGACGGCGCGTGGGAGGACCCTGGCGCTTGTTAGAAATGCAGGCTCTCAGGCCCCACCCCGCCCCCACTCACTCAGACTGTAAATTAAAACATTTTTTAATTGAGATGTAATTTACCTCTAACATTCTATTAGTTTCTGGTGTATACAACATAATTTTTCAATAGTAGTTGTATTTCTTTCCTTTTCCTTTTTGATCCTCACCCGAGAATCTGTTTATTGGTCTTAGAGAAGAAGGGGGGGGGGGGGGGAGGGGGGAGGGGAGAGGGAGAGGGGGAGAGAGAGAGAGAGAGAGAGAGAGAGAGAGAGAGAGAAACATCGATGTGAGAGTGAAACACACAGTTGCTCCCCATATGCACCCCAATGGGATCACACGCACAGCTTTTTGGTGTACAGGACGACACGCCAACCAACTGAATACTTAAAAATTCCTCCTTAAGGCTGAATACTACTCCGTTGTAGGTGTATAGGACACTTTGTTTATCCACTCGTCTGTGCTGGACAGTTGGGTTGCTCCCATTGGTGGCTTTTGCGAATAGTGCTGCTATGAACAAGGAAGGACTACTTTTTAAAGTTTTCCTTTTTACTTAATTTTCTTAACACTTCAGTGTCTAGTACTAATATTATTAGATACTAGTAAGATGTGCTAGTGGTAATATTTGAAATGTTGGCGTTTAAAATGTCCTTGGGTGATGTGTGTTGAAATATTGCAGGGTGATGCCTGTGAAGTAGTTGGAGCATAACATGGATTAGGTTGGCTCATATTCAATCACTGTTTTCCTAGGTCAGAAACAGACAAATATCAGCAAGTGCCTGTGGTTCAGACTATTTGTTGAAAGAGAAAGCAAGCAATTGTGGTGACAAAGGGGGGTTTCTGTGTGAAGAACACACAGGTGTTTGTAGTCGTCTTCCACCTTTCTCTGTGTTTGAACTTCCTAGAAATACGGAGTTGGGAACAAATAGGTCATCAGCATAAGAAAATAAACTCGCAACAGATACGTGTATGTTGTGAGGTTGAGCGTGCTGACCACGTTCTCCATGGGGATAATTGCCTGTGGTAGCATTTACATGCCCTTGGGATCCTAAAGCCCTACCCTTGATTCCGAGTATAGAGGAGAAGGAAAGCTGTTTCATTGTGTGACACTTCTAAATCAGCATGTGAAGAAGAATAACAAAGATAAATAAATAAATAAATAAATAAATAAATAAATAAATAACCTTAGAGATGGGAGTTAAGACAGGAGGAGCCTGGTAACATCTTACGGAGCCTCTTTTCCATGGGTGCCATTTAAAGACAGGCCCACAGAAGGAGGAAAATAGATCATCGGTTTCTCAGAAACCAGTGCCTGTTTTCTCAGGTTTTGTCAGGAGATCAGAAATGGCTTCTCTCTAGGCGAGGTCCTGACGGTCTCTGTCACAAAGGCCACATCTCTGGGATTTGAAGACGTCTCATCCCCACCCTCTCCCTTCCCTTGCTGCCGTAGGTAGGAGCCGAAGCACGTTTTGCTCAGGTTACTGGGGTCCGCGGGGCAACCAAGGCCGCTGGATAGAGTTATGAGATGCTAATTCCTACTCCGCGCTGGAACATTTCCCTGTGATGAGGACCACCTCTGGCTTCATCTCTTTGTTTTGTTTTTGAATCCAAAACAGATCCCTAAAGAAGTGGCTGACATCTTCAACGCCCCTAGTGACGATGAAGACTTTGTCGGCTTCCGAGAGGACGTTCCCATGGAAACCCTCTCCTCGGAGGAGAGCTGCGACAGCTTTGACTCGCTGGGTTCGGGGAAACAGGTACGGGGGCTTCCTTCCGAGGCAGGCGTGCGGGGCCGGAAGCCCGGGTCTTGGTTCGAGCGTCCTTGTCGTTGACCATGGCCTGGGATGGGTGATGCCGGTCCACTGCCCGGCGTTTTATTTTGTAAGCCTCAGGTCTTCGTGTTTCAAGAAACCGGTGAGAGTACCTAGCTCACGTTTGCTGTGTAAGTCCTTTTGTGTACAGTACATTATTTTTTTTTAAATAAAAGGGGCCTCACCTGATCAGATCCATTTTCTGTGCAACCTCAGGGCTGCTGCTTGTGGCCCTGCTGGAGTCAGAGGCCCCCACGCAGCTGGCGGGGGGAGGGCTGCCCGCTGCCCGGCACAGCGATGCCCACACCACGCGGGGCAGCCCTGGAACGTGTGGTTACCGTGGGGCAGTGGTCGGCAAACCCATTAGTGAACAGAGCCAGATATCAACAGTACGACGATTGAAATTCCTTTTGAAAGCCAAATTTAAAACAATATATAATATATATGTATATTTTATCAATTTTTTTACAGAGAGGGAAGGAGAGGGATAGAGAGTTAGAAACATCAATGAGAGAAAATTTATCAATCAGCTGCCTCTTGCACACATCCTACTGGGGACGTGCCCGAAACCTAGGTACATGCCCTTGACCGGAATCGAACCCAGGACCTTTCAGTCCACAGGCCGACGCTCTATCCACTGAACCAAACTGGTTTCGGCTGAGAGCCAAAATTTTTAAACTTAAACTCTAAAGGTAGGTACATTTGTTATTAACTTAACGAGGGTACTCCTAAAAGCTGGCCTTTGCTAAACACTCAAGGGGCCAAAGGGCCGCGGGTGGCTCTCGAGCCGCGGTTTGAGGATCACTGCCGTGGGGCAGTTGCATCCCTGCCCCCGCAGCGTGGTTCTGTCCGCACCCCCCCTCGGGGTCGCTGGGGAGAGCCCTTTTCTCTCTGACCACGTTGGTCTGTGGCACACCTACGTTACCGTTCTCCGGGAGTTAGATTCCTAGAGGTTCGTGTTGTGCCTGAGCCATTGCACGGCCCACCGCAAGGTCTGGCCTTTCCTCCTGAGGTCATGGCGGCACTCCGATTCCTCCTTTTCCCTCGACCGTGGTCTCTCGTTCAAGGCCATACGTGAAGCCCCCCTGCTTCAACCGGGCCAGGGCTGGGAGGGAAGCCGGTCACTCCTCGGCTGGCCTCGGTGGGAGCCGTCCTTTCCGGGGACGCGGGCCTCCCTCTTGGGGGGCCTCACCTTCCTGCTCCACGGCCTCGACCCCGCCAGCCCCCTCCTCCCACTCCCCACGTTCTCTCCCTCTCTTGTTCTTTGCTGTCATCTCTCCTGTGCTTTTCACTGAGTGGTCTCCGTCGTCGGCCTGGTCTCAGTGGTAAAGGCCAGGCTTCTCCCTCCAGCCCCAGAGGTATTTCTGACTGCCTGCCGGTCCGGTCCTGATCAGTCAGGGAGATCTGGAACTCACCCCTGCCCTCCCCTCCTCGTCTGTCTGGCTTCCCCTTCTCTATCTCCATCTTCGGTGTTCTCGACCTTCCTCCTCCTCTTCGGTCTCCCCGACTCCCTTCCAGGAGTTAATCTCCCCTCCCTTCCGTCCCTTCTCTTCCCCATAGCTCTCGGCTCAGCTGTAGAACTGACCAAGCTCATAACCTATCGGTTTAAAATAACCAGGGGACCCCAGGGAGCCAGGGGTGGTGTGAGGGCTGTAACCTCGAAGGCAGCGGGGATGTGCGGTGTGCACATTTGCTTCCTGCAGACCCACGATCCAAACATCTCCTACACCCCGTGGAGGGAGGGGGATACTGATTTCTCCCAGGTTGACCACCGCCCTGTGAGGCCAGCTCCAAGGCTAGAGACTGCAGAGGACTGGGCGGTGGGGACGTGCTGCTGTGAGGCCTGGCCGCTGCAGGCTCTAGGCAGGGACTGGGGGTGTCTGACCCACACACAGTCCCCTTGCCCCCCATCAGCCTGCAGGGGCCGGCTCTGGGCCCCAGGAACCAGATGTTTCCTGCCCTCGGAGATAGCGGGTTCGTGGTAGGTTTTCCCAGGAGCCAGCGGGGCACCTTTCTTCCTTAATCGTAAATCCTCCTCTGCTGCTTCCCCATCCCGACTCCCCCACACACACTCAGATCCGTGTTAACCATCCGAGAGGAGCCGCACGACGAACTTGTACACAGTGTGTGTGGCAACGCTGAGTTTGGTGTCTCTGAAACACAACAGGAATTTCACTTTCAAGAAATTCCCCGTGTGTGTGTGTGTGTGTGTGTGTGTGTGTGTGTGTGTGTTTTCCAAGCTATCAACAAGGAAACAAAGTAATTTAACTCTGAGCACACTCACTCCGATTGCCCATAGTCAATGGATATAGGCGCTTTTCTCTATTCCCTGTAAGATTTTCCACGTGTCTATCTATGTTTTTCCCCCAAGATTATCTGAGCGCAAAGAAGTGTATCTTTAAAGTCAGGCAAAGGCATGGGGCGGATAGAGATTCGCCAGCCACACGTGGCGTGAGGAGGGGTCCGCTGCTCCATTGGGGTGGGAGGAGGCGTCGGCACCTGGGGCCTGGTCCCAGCCCTGGGGGCCTGCGTGGAGCAGGCTCATGGTGGGTCTCCTTTCTGAACGGCGCTTGCTTTTCCCTCCTCACCTTCAAGCATGCCATTCGGAGAGCCACGTGTTCTCCTTTTCGTTCGTTCAAAAGAAAGAAGACGCCTTTATTCGAAGATGACCTCCTTTTTTCAGAGTCCGTTGTGGAATAGCTTTCCTTCTGCTTGTTTGCTGCCTGGGCTCTCGGGGGGGGGGGGGGGGGGGGGGGTGGTCAGGAGGGTGGCAGCGTCCCTCCGTTCCCGTGGCAGCGGGTGAGGGGACCACTGCCCTCGGCTCATCGGTGGGGGGAGGGGAGACAGGGTCTCCAGCCCCTTCTTTCCTGCGGAGACGCTGTGGTCTGGGGAAGGCAGGTGTGCCCACTGCCTCGGAGGGAAGGCTCCGGGTGGCTGTGAGAGGGGAAGGCCTGCATGGGAGGGAGCCAGGTTTCCCCTCTCTACCCCCCGTGGCTTTGTGGTTCTGTGGGAAAGCGGGCATCCCTGATGGCCAGCCTGGCGGGAGGAACGGAATGCCAGGCCAGCTGTGCTTATGGGTCAGACAAGTGGATGGAGGCTGTGGACATTGAGTTTTTTAACCCTTTGCACTCCGTTGTCCCCTCTCAGGGGACCTCGGAATTCTAGCATATCACTCGGATGTCCCCTCTCAGGGGGGAGATTGCAGTTTATTAGTGATTACGGGGAATTGAGTTAATACAGCGCACGCGTCCGCCGCAAAGTAGCGTCGAGTAGCTAGCTGGTAGCCAATGTCCAGAATGGTTCGGAGTGCAAAGGGTTAAATCATTCCATTCGTAGGTCTAAATTTCTGTAAGCTGCAGAAAATGTGTGTGTGTGTGTGTGTGTGTACGCTTATTGTGGTAAAACATGCATCACAAAATTTACCACTAACCATTTTTACTTTTATCTTTTATTTTAATTGATTTCAGAGAGGAAGGAGGAGGGAGAGAGGATCATTGACTGGCTGCCTCCTGCATGCCCCCTTTTGGGGATCAAACCTGTAAAACCTGGGCATGTGCCCTGACTGGGAATCAAACTGTGACCACCTGGTTCACAGGTCGACACTCAGCCGCTGAGCCACACAGTTTGGGCGTTACCACTCTTAAGTGCAGACGAGTTTCCGGTTTCTTGCCAGCGAGACAGTAGGTGGCCTCCGATACGCTCCCAGTGTTGGGCAACGGACACCATTCTCTCCAACGGAAACACCGCACCCATGAAACGGCTCCCCACGGCCCTGCGCCCCGGGAACCCCTGTTCCCCTCCCTCTCTAACGTGTGTGCGCTTTAATTTAGCAGGATGTGCGCTTCCGCTCCAAGTACTTCACAGAAGAGCTGAGGAGAATTTTTATAGAGGACACCGACTCAGAGACGGAGGACTTTGAGGGGTTTACGCAGAGCGACCTGAGTGCGGACAGTAGCCCGGAAGGAAAGGTAATAATGAGCCACACGAGGGAGCCTGGGTTGTAATCGCTTCAGCCCTGTTTCTGAATTCCGCTTTTACTCGGAGGAAGTCCCTTCCCAGAGGGGAAGGATTTTACCTGTTTATCTCTAAAGCAGTTAACACAACGTTGCCATTGCAGGTGAATCCCAGGTCCCCCGTCCATCGTACTCTGAGGGAAAACCAGTCGTCACCCCTCCTGCCTTTGGAATGTGGGGTTGTGTCTCAGGTGTCCTTATCAAAGACTTGCTTGGAGGGTCTATTTGGGAGTAATAAGGAATTTAAAGTCATTACTTCTTGCTTGTGAAGTAATGTTCTTGTGTTTGTAGTTAATTTGACCAAAGTCTTGGCGTCTTCCCTGTGTGCATTTTGACTTGGAAATTTCTTGATGTGCTTTGTGGTGGTGGTTTTGTTTTTTTGCAGAGAGAGGGAGTTTAGAGAAACATAGATGTGAGAGCAACATCGATCAGCTGCCTCCTGTACCCCTCCCACTAGGAATGGAGCCTGCAGCCCAGGCATGTGCCCTGACCGGGAATTTAGTCGTGACCTCCTGGTTCCTAGGTCGACGCTCACAGGCCGGGCAAGCACTCCCATTTCTATCAGAAGATGAGTCTTGCGTTCCGCACACCATTTTCTTTGTTCCCCATGTTACCTGGCCTCCAGACCTGCCAGCTTGTCTGTTCCCTGCACGGAAGCCCAATGGGTAGTGCTCTGCTTCCAGCCCCGTGGTCTGAGAGGAACGCAGTCGGCCAGTGGCTGAGACTCTGTGTTCCTACCAAGCTCCAGGTGGTGCAGGTGCTCCTGGGACCACCCTGAGAAGAAGCCCTGGTTCAGGGTACAGACCACGGGGAGGGTCCTCCTTCTAAAATCAGCTCCCTGGGGGTGGGGGGCAGCGATCCAGCACCAACTACTGGACTAAAAAGCTCAGGGGAACTACTCAGAAGGGGGAGCTTTCAGATGTTTAACGCTTTCCTAAAATAAGGTCTGATGGTCTTAAACGTGTCGTTTTGAAAGTCTTTTACGTCTTTTTTTTTTTCTCATTTCGTTAGCTCGAGGGGTCCGGTTTGAGCAAGGATGGGAGTGAGGCCTTGGTGAGCGAGGAGGAGGGAGGTGACAAAGAAGAGGCGGGCAGGCCCAGGAGGGGCAGGCCCAGGAGGGGCAGGCCCAGGAGGAGCAGCCTCGGTCTCCGTGTAGCCCTGCAGTTCCCCAAGAAACCGGCCAAAGCAGCCGACAAGAATGCTCCCGAGCCGCTGTTTCCCAGCGCTTGCTCACAGGACAGTACAAAAGCCATTCTCCGGAGAAAGAAAAGCTGCAGACCAGGGAAGGAAAGGGAAGATTCGGCCTCCGAGCCTGAAGAGGACTCCCGGGACGAGGAGGGCCAGGAGAGCTCGGACCCGCTGCTGAAACGGACCATGAACATCAAGGAGAACAAGGCCATGGTAAGGCCGCCCCTGGGGGCGGGCACCTGGGGGGGCACGGGGCTCCGGCCAGGCTCCCACACTGCACCCTGCCAGCTCCGCTTTGGCTTCTCTCAGGACGTGCGCTCCGGGGACTGTGCATCCTTTTCTCTCTTCCTGAGCCCCGAGCAGCAGTTCCCTGGAAGCTCTGGTTTGGGGACAGGAAGAGACGCCTGCACTATTTTTAACCCCCCTCGAGCTCATGCCGCTTCCCATGTGTGGGGTGAAGTTCTAACTCTAGTAGTTTTGAGCGAAGAGGAGCTAAACCACCAGCCCGAGGGAAGCTGTAAACGAGGTGTCGGGAGCCCACTTTGGAGTGGCCGTGGGCAGCAGGCCGGGCAGGGGTCCTGCAGCCCAGGAACCGGTCTCCTGGGGTCGCCAGCTGTGGTTTCAGGACATTATGTGAAGGAATGAAACCGGTCTAGGCATTAAAACAAATGGAGCTTTATTTTAAAACGTCTTCCCTAGATGAAGGCAACAAAGCGAGCTCTGTGTCTGGTTTTTCTGCACGTGGTCAATGACTGTTGTTAGCGTCCTAATTTTGTACATACAGAATTTAAAAAATCCTACCACACAGAGTCACTTTTAGCACTTTTGGTGTATGTCTGTCTTTAACGTTTCCTTTTAAAGAAGGGTCCTGTAATGATACTGCAGATACAATCTTATATGGCAAGTAAGTTACCCAAGAAAACGGAAAGCTTGCGTTTGGGTGCAATTTATCCGGGGACACATTTGTGGATACTTACCTGCCCCCCTTTCTTTGTTCCGGACTCCAGCTTGCTCAGTTGCTGGCGGAATTGAACTCGGTGCCCGACTTCTTCCCGGTGCGAACCCCGAGCTCAGCTTCCGTAAGTGGCGCTCCGTCTGTTCGTTCCGGAGCGAGGATGGGAGTGAGGCCTTGGTGAGCGAGGAGGAGGGAGGCGCCGGGCGGCACACGGCACACGTCTCCGCTCTCGCTTTCAGAGGAAGAAGACCGTGCGGCGGGCCTTCTCGGAGGGGCAGCTCCCCCGGCGCACGAACCCCGCCCGCAGCGCGCGGCCGCCCGAGAACTTCGCGCTGGAGAAGTTCACCGTCTCCGCCGCCCAGTTCACCGAGGAGCTGTACCGCTTCCGGAGGCGGAGGACCATCAGTGGGGTACTGGTGACCTTAGGAAACACGCTGTGTTGTCTAAGCCAGCGGTCCTCTAACACAGAGATCCCAAACTCAGTCAGCGGGGCCAAATACCAACAGTACGACGATTGAAATGTCTTTTGAGAGCTAAATTTTTCAAACTGAAACGATATGGGCAGGTACATTGTTATTAATTTAACAAGGGTACTTCTTCAGTCGCGCTGTACATGCGCGCCCACACGTGGTATTTTGTGGAAGAGCCACACTCAAGGGGCCAAAGAGCCACAGGTGGCTCGAGAGTCACAGTTTTCCGACCCCTGCTCTAACTCCGTAGCCGCTCCAGGGCTTAAAAGGTTCTGCCCCATTCCACCTGCAGCGGCTGGGAATTGGCAGTTTCATGAATTCCAGGTGGTTCGCGTGCTAACTGCAGGGCCCAGGACCTCAGGCAGAGTCAACGCAGGCTTGGCCGAGACTGGCCAGCTCGGGGGCTTTCCTTGGGGGAAAGGAAAGAGTCCTCCTCGCCTCTGTTTTAGGACGGAGGCATTTCAAGTGCCTTCAGGCAGGAGAGAGAAACTCTGGACTCGTCCCATGTGTGGGTTTGGCTGGTCATTGTGGCTGTTAACGACCCTGTGCTCAGAGTTGCCATGGAAGGAGCTTGACACACGTCAGCGAATGAATGATTTCAGGAGGATAGAAGGAGGGACGCAGTGAACACTAATTAATGGTTTTGGAACTCTTCAGAGTGTAACATTTAAAAAAGGGTAACCGCTCGGCACATCTGACGCCAGCTCCGTCGTCTCCTCGCAGGGGCGGTGCCAGGGGTACCGGCGGCGGCGGCACCGGGTGTCGTCTTTCCGGCCCGTGGAGGACATCACGGAGGAGGACTTGGAAAACGTCGCCATCACTGTCCGAGACAAAATCTACGATAAAGTTCTGGTACGTTCTACGGGATCGGGACTCTCCCTGGGACTCCGAGGCGCCAGGATTTGAGGTCCGGCAGTTTGTTCACTGTGTCTGGGCTCACACCCGGACCTCTCCCCGGGCTCCGAGGGGGCTCTGAACTGGCGGGTCAGCCGTACCTGGGTGAGGGGAGAAGGCTCGGAGCAGGAATTCTCATCAGAGGAGAGGTTTGTGTGGAGGGAGACGGGGGCATCGTTTAGAAAAACATTCATTTATAGTTCTGTTTTGAATACATTCTTTTTTTAAACATTGAAAAATATAATGGGCTTTCTGGTTAATAGAACCATAGAAGCTAAAGTTTGAGAGCCTCTTTGGTAGGAGGTGGGTTGAAAGTTCCTCTCGATGGTCAGCTTTGTTTCAGATGGGGAGTGGGACGACGGTCGCAGGCCGTGCTAAAATGAGAGACTACCCCGGCCTCCAGGTCGGGGCACATGGCACTCTTCACAGGCCCTGCCCCTTCTGCTCTCTCTCTCGTCTTTCTGATCATTTCATTCCTTCCAGGCTCCCTGCTCCACCTCACTGCCCTAATACGCTTCTGTGGCCCCAGAACTAGAAGTGCGGACAGGCTGCCAGGGTCTGTTCGCCTCCAGGAGAGAGCCAGCGAACAGCAGTGTGGGGCCACGCCCGGTGAACCCGTGCTCAGCCACTCACCGCCTTCTCCCCTCAGGGCAACACGTGCCATCAGTGCCGGCAGAAGACCATCGACACCAAGACGGTGTGCCGGAGCCAGAGCTGCGGCGGCGTGCGGGGGCAGTTCTGTGGGCCGTGCCTGCGGAATCGCTACGGGGAGGACGTCCGGTCGGCGCTGCTGGACCCGGTAGGAGCGGCATGCGCGTCTGCCACGAGCGGTGGGGCTCCCCGACCCCGTTGTCGGGGACCAGTAGCTGCAGAGCCTGAACCCTCTCCATTCTCTCCGCATCTTAAGATGCTGGGAGAAATGGAGAAGAGGGTTTCCTTCTGAACAGGGAGCGGGCTGACCAGAGGATAGAACAGGAGACAAGGCTGCGCTGGGCTTTCCCGGGTCAGCGAGGCACTGCTTTCTATGTGCCCGGCCTTGCTGTGAGGTTTCACATCAGCTCATGTGCAGTTGACTTTATCTCAGTGGAAGTAGCTCTATAAGCTCCCTATGCCTCCGTTCCTTCTGGAAAATGAGTAGCACCTTTGTTAAGTCTGACCTTGAACCTGGGGATTCTGTGCTCTTACCCTCTTGTATGGCCGCCAAGGGGTAGATAACACTGTCACTCGGGTGACGTGATTGAACCACAGGCTCGCAGATGGGAAGTGGAAACCCTAGCATTCACACTCACGGATCTGCTTTTCCACCAGAGTCCAATGAATAGGCTGGCTGGCCTACAGCTCGCATTTCCCAGTCTCTCTCCAGGTGTGATGGTGGGTCACCCAACCTCCTGGGCCTACTTGAGAGGAAGGAGACAGGCTAGGTCATCCTCCCCCCAGTGACATAGATGGAAAGGTAGCAGGTGACCAAAGCCCGGAGGAGAGGCCTGCCACCACGGGGACAGATGCCTGCCGTCATCTCCCCCTAGGGCTGGATGTGCCCGCCCTGCCGGGGCATCTGCAACTGCAGTTACTGTCGGAAGCGCGACGGCCGCTGCGCCACGGGGATCCTCATTCACCTGGCCAAGTTTTACGGTTACAACAATGTCAAGGAGTATCTGGAGAGGTGAGTCTCCCAGACCAAGGCAGGTGGCAGACACTTGAGGCAGCCTGATCCTTACAATCCCCCGGGAATGGAGCTCTTTGCATTGGAGAGACTCAGGCCTGATGTTCTCCCTGTTAGGAAGTTTCCTTCTTTGCTAGGATTTTCAGCATGGAGCTGCCTGTGTATAATAATACAGAAATGGAGTGTACGAGGCAGCCTTGACCCTGCTGGGAGGAGAGGTTTGGGAATGTAGGACGAGGAGATGGAGTTGTGGTTCCCAATAAACTTGAAAAGCACAGTTTCAGAATGAGACGAACCCTAGCTGGGACCTGCCTCCAGGGTCTGCCACCAGCTAAGAAGTCAGGACTTTGTGCTCCTACCCCTCCTGTTAATTCCTTATCCCACTAACGCCCGCCTTCCTCTTCTCAGCTTACAGAAGCAGCTGGTGGAAGACAATTAGGAGGAAGAGCCACTGGCCAACTGACCTTTGGTTTTCCAGCAAGACATGCCCTATGTACCGTTTGTGCCTACGCTTTCTTACCATTGTGTTTTTATAAAGAAATTCTTTGTAGATCTAAATACTGCTTTTTGTTAAGACTGTTTATATGCTTACAAAGATATCTCAGGAAGACAGCTAAGCACCTTGAGGAATCTTATAGACACAGGTTAATGATTAGAAAGCAGCTACAGTTCGGGAAAACATGGCCTTAGACATCTGTTTGATTACAGATGCTGCCTTGACCTTTTGCCTCCCAATTAGGCCATGTTGTTATGGCACCTTTAGTTTACCTTATCCTGACCAATCATTCAAACCACCTAGCGCAGTGGTCGGCAAGCTCATCAGCTAACAGAGCGGCGAGCCGCATGTGGCCCACAGTTTGCCGACCACTGACCTGGTGTAACCTGCTCTGGGTGATTGGAAATGTCTATTGCAGAATGTTCCCCTAAATTACAAAGTGCAATTAACCATGGATGAGAGTACTAGAGTTTTCGTTTTTTATTAAAACTTGAATGAAAAAAGTGGACTGTCACGTTACCGACACTGGAGGCCTCGGAGCGTCTGCCTCTTCATCCAGGACTGCCTGGGGCCAGTTGCATCTATGTGTTAAAAGAATGTAAGAGCTAATTGTTAACTTAAGAAGATTTTGTTTACAAGAGCTAAAACCCCACTTCCTGACCAGGAGTCTTCCAACCCCTTTGTTTTTGAGGTGGTATCTCCAATGGGAGCTTGATGAAAATGGGAGAGAGACTGTTCTCGGGGAAAGCTAAAAATTAACATGTTCTCACTAGGTTTCCAAGGATGTCTTTCTACGTTTGCCTCTTTCTCTCCCCCACTTTTTAAGGATGGTGTTTAAGAAAAGTTAATGCACAGTTACAGACACTGGAATGTTTTATGCCTCTCGGTAGAATAGGTGTGCAGAAGGACAGCCCAATGAAAAGCACTCACCGTGTTCGCCCGCCGGGCCTGGAGGAGTGAGGGCCCGTCTACGCCTCCAGCAGCAGAGCCACGCCTGCCAGGACCCACTTGGCCGTCTTCTCTCTGCTCCTCAGCCGGAAGGTCCAGATGTAGTCGGGGCCCCTCCTCTTGGTTTTGTACACGGGGCACTCGTAGGTGTGCTTGGTTTCCTGTCTGTCCGTGGGTATGGCTTTTGCAAAGATGACCGGCATCGCCGATGTCAGCTCCTTGAGGCGGGCTTCAGCAATGGTCCCGGACTGGGTGTCCCATCTCGCACCTACAGCAAAAAGAACCCGAGGGTGGGACGTGTTGGGCCGCACCTTGTGATTGTTGCAGGCAATAAACGTTCCAGATTTGTCACGCTGCTGCTTGTCGGTCACTTCCTGACTGAGCGGGCCAGGACTGAGGTAGGAGAGGGAGGTTCAAGTTCCTGCTCTCCAGGTGTCACTCAGACCATTGCCCCTGTGCTTACCACCTACACACTTGGGAAACGTAAATTTTATAACAGATCCCGTAACAATCCAGACGCACTAAAGCACACTAGTTTGCCCTACCTCGAAAAGCAAAGTGCGTTTGAATGCTATAGAGAATGCCATCCACGTCACCACATTCTCTCCTACTGGCCCCTTACCTTACACTGCATTCAGGTACCTTATTCCCATCCCCTGCCCTCAAACGTGCGTACGTGTGGCACTCGCTCAAGAGTGAAAAAAGAGCATTTTGGCCAAGACTAGGACAGGCATTGCCGCGACCCTTTAATACAGTTCCTCATGTTGTGGTGACCCCCAACCATACAATTATTTTCGTTGCTATTGCTACTGTTATGAATCGTAATGTAAATATCTGTGTTTTCCGATGGTCTTAAGCTCTACAGCAGTGGTTCTCAACTTGTGGGTTGTGACCCACAGGCTAAGAACTGCTAGCTAGCAGGATCGCCTAAGGCTATCGGAAAACAGATATTTGCATTACGATTCATTAACTAGCAAAATTAGTTAGAAGTAGTAATGAAAATAATTTTTAAAAATATGTATTTTTTATTTCAGAGAGAGAGAAACATCCACAATGAAAGAGAACCATGGATCGGCTGCCTCCTGCAAGGCTCCCATTGGGGGTTGAGCCCACAACACAGGCACATGCCCTTGACCAGAACCAAACCTAGGACCCTTCAGTTCGCAGGCCGACGCTCCATCCACTAAGCCAAACAGGCCAGGGCCACAATGAAAATAATTTTACGGCCGAAACCGGTTTGGCTCAATGGATAGAGTGTCGGCTTGGGGACTGAGGGGTCCCGTTTCAATTCCGGTCAAGGGCATGTGCCTTGGTTGTGGGCACATCCCCAGTAGAGGGTGTGCAAGAGGCAGCTGATCGATGACTCTTTCTCATCGATGTTTCTAATTCTCTATCTCCCTTCCTCTCTGTATAGAATCAATAAAATATATTTTAAAAAATATAATTTTATGGTTGGGCGTCACCACAACATGAACTGTATTAAAGGTTTGTGACATTAGAAAGGTTGAGAACCACTGCCTTAGAGGTATACAATGTATATCAGCGTCTTAGAGGAGAGGCTTGGAGAAGTCTTGCAGTAAAAAAGTAGTGCAAGAAAGATATTGAAAAGCAAAATAATTTAAACTCCGTGTAGGTTGTAAATGATCCTGTGGTGTTAACATCAGATACAATGTAAGGGGAAGCCATCACCCCAAATGCCTTAAAATATGCTCACGTTGGATCCCATCTTGGCATTTAAATTTTTAAAAAGCAAAAAATGAGGTAGATGCCAGTGCGAGTGAATGCTGAGACAAGGTCCTTCCTTAAGGGAAGAGCCTTCCCTGGGCTCCGCGGGGGCCTACCTTCCAGGAAGAGCCCGTGCAGGTAGGCGCCTTCCCTGGGGGGATGGCCGTAGTCTTCCTTGGCTTTTTTGGTCACGTCGACCGTCAGGCACATTTTATCCAGCGGCCACGCATTTTTCCGAGCCGTGGTCTGCATGATTGCTGCGGGAGGGGAAGGCACAGGGATGAATGAAGGGTGTCAAGTTGTACGTAAGGTTCCCAGGAGCCACCAGCAAGCCGAGCATCTACCGAGGCTGCCTTGGTCCCTCCCGCCCAGTGTTGGGTTCTGTGTATCTGCCTGTGGCCACATTAGAGCAAGGCCTGCAGGACGGCCCCGCAGCTTTTGGAAATGAGCTTCTACTGGAACAGCCACGCCCATGGGGTCAGTACCGTCTGGTGGCTTGGGCACGGTCTTGGCAGAAAACATTTGCTAGAATGAACCACGTCCCACCTCACTTGGCTGTTCCTGGGCCTCCTTCCCTTTGATGCTGCTCTGCCCGGAGTGCCATTCCTCTGTCGCTCCTGCCCCTTTTCTGTCGTGGCCCCCGCATGGGGCCCGGTGAGCAGGGCGGGGAAGGCTCCTCGGGGCAGGCTTTCTGCCGAGGCAGCGGTTCTGTGAGCAGCAGGCCTTACCGGTTAGGAAGGACTGAGGGTTGAAGAGGCCAGAAAGCCACACCACCGCCGGGAGGGCGAGGTCTTGTGTCCAAGTGTCCAGTTCTCGGCATCGCAGGAGGAGGTCATTGAACCTAGGTCGTAGAAGGTAGGAAAGAATCGGCCTGCGTTTTAGTTTTAGTACAATAGACGTTTCTCTAAGATTAAGGACGTGGACTGTGGGGAAGGGTGGTGGCAGCAAGGTACACCACTGCGAGCCAGGGAAATGGTTACCCGGTGATTTGCAGACTGGTCCCTTGAAAGGGGCTAGATTTTTTTCCAGTAGAGATTGCATATCTTCTAGCTGTTACTGCTAGGGACAAGAAACATGAGGGAATGTGGAAAATTTGTCTCTGTTATCAAGCAGTTATTTAGCTCCTCTTAGTGCTATGTGGTGACCATACACAGGGGATCCGTGTAAGACCTGGGCTAATGGGTGCCAACAGGGAACACGGAGGTGCGTGCAGGGTGCATGGGGCCAAGCTGCTATGACGGTTACTAGACGAGAGAGGCGCAGAGAGGAGCAGAGCATTTGACAACAGCCTTCCCATGTGCGATAACTACCTGAAAGCAGGAAAGGTTATTTATAAAGTTACTTTATCCATCGCATGCCAGAGGTTTGAGAAACTGCTGTTTTTACCTGGGACTTTGCCTCTCAGCTGCAATTATGCGAGGGAGGAAGTACCTGCAATTTACCTCTGAGGAAGCCTGAACGTCTTTGATAACGTTAGGAGACACGTGAAACCTTGAGTGGGGGATTAGGGAATGTGAAAGGCGGTGGGGAAATGGCACAGGGAAACAGCACAGAGAAGACAGCCCAGCAGGAAAAGCCAGCGATACAGTTCTCCAGGGCGAGGGCCACTCTGGCTGGCCCTGAGTTCTCCTGAGACCTGCTTTGGCTCAGAGTTGCAAGGGAGGCAGGGCTGAACGGGAATCATCCCCACGGACCCCCTGCAGGAAGGGTCTGCCTGAGACCTGGGTCACCGGAAGGAAAGTTCTGGCTAGCTGAGAACGCGGCCCTGTGCCCTGCTCCGTGTCACCAGTCCCTGGTTAGGGAACACACACTTGAGGCTGTATGACAGAAAAAGGGCCAAGGACGGGAAAGCAGATGGAGAAAGACGTGCTTCATAGGTTGCTGCAGAGGATAAACACCACAGCCAAACAATTTGCACTAAGTTCTTTTAAAAGGGAGTGATTCCTTGTATAAACAAGGTCATGGATTAGACGTGATTAGGTTAGGAAAAGGAAATTAAACTGGAAGATCTCAGAGTCAGGAAAAAACATGAGAGGAATTTCAAGTTGCTTCTCATGGCCATAACAATTCCCCCAGTGAGGGAATTCTGTGTTATCTGCATTTTTCAGGTGATAAAATGAGAAACCAGGTCAGATATTCTGTCCGGGATCAAATAGCTAACAAGTAAGAGGTAGAATTTAAATCTTGCTCTGATCTTGACTTTCAATTTTTGCCTTTGAAGTAGTAGGCAACACGTTAAGGAAACACAATTGAAGCAGTGGTAGTTTGTAAACTTAATGAGTATAGTCACAAAGCACCACCATCTTATGGCTCTTTGGGGGCTGAATACACAGTGTTTCCCAAACTTTTGACATATGTGTACCCCTTCTATAATTTTCGTAACGCTGAG